GTGTCTAAGCTGCAGGATGAAGTAGAAGGAACATCAGAAGCATCCCGGGTAATCAGTGATCATTGTGATGAGCTGTCTCCCCTCTGTCAACTTGAGGAGTCTTCCTCGGTGTTAATGTCAAAAGAGGAAGATTGTGGGAAATCACAGCTTTTCAAACAGGGCAGCCAAGAACGTGAAGCATGTAAAGTAACAAGACCACAAACTGACTGCAGCAATAACAGTAAGGACAGCAGTTGCCTTTCATTGTCCAGATCACTGAAAGCAGAGAGGGTAAATGCAGAGGACACGATTCTAGGCTGTGAAGCTGGACTTGATATTCTGAGCTCAAGGCAGCTAGAGGACCTTTTGGCAGACAAGTCAAGAAGGTTTACCACTCTGAGCTCTGACAGCACAGTGGAGGAAATGATCATAGGGCCTGAGACTTTCAGTAACATGGTTCATATTGACCTAAATGAAGACGAGAACTGTGCTGCCCAGGTCCTTAAGGATGTCTTTGATAAGTCCTCCTGTGTTCTGAGTGGCTCCCAGGAGGATGAGGATGTAGAAATTAAATTTTACTCAACTAAGCTGAGCCGAGCAATCCACCACTTTCGTTTGGCTCTTCAGGGGGTGTTTCAGAAGCTGGAAAACAATGGATCTGTCAGTCCTGAAGACCTGGAAAGCAACGAAAGTGGTTCCCAGTCAGAGAACAGTGACAGACTTCTCAGGACAGCGAGTTCGGGCGGTGCCCATGATTGTTCAGTGGAGAGTCCTGGGAGTCAGGGGAGTGAGAGCTTTCTCAGTGTGGTCTCTGGTGGAGTAGGCATCTCTACACAGGGTGATCAGATGCCTCAAGACCCAAGCAACTTCTCTCTTGCTTCTAATAGCTCACCTCTTGCAAACTCATTGCTCAGTTTCCCTCTAGCCCCATGTCTGGGAAATGAGACTTGTTCCAGGCCTGCCTCTCCTGATCAAGGCAAGCTGAGTTTAGAGCAAGTGTGTGCAGAGACCATTTACCTCAACAAGTGCATCAACAATTTTAAAAATGTTCTAAGAGAGAAAAGACTGAGGCAGAAAAAACTTTTGCAAGAGCTAGTACAGACAGCAAGCCATCTTTCAGTAGAAGACATCCCCTCAGGTATTCTGAGTTTCTGTGTAATGGGATTCCAGCTGGCCCAGTATGGCGTCTGAGTGGTGGCGAGTTCACAAAGTGATGGGGTTGGTCTATGGCTTGAATTAGTGTAAATTATTTTAATACAGACCTAAAACAAATCTATGAGAAATAGAAGAAAATATAAGGTAATAGGAAGGAAGTTCTAGTCTCTGTCCTTAGGACATTTCCAGTCTATTAGGGGAAGTAACCTTTCAAAAGAGAGAGGAACATTTGGGCCTCAATAGGCTACAGTCGTTGATGCGGGAAGCAAGAAGGGGAAATAAAGCACATTTATTCCGGGGTGCCAGAGGGGCAGAAAAAGAATCCCATGTTGTATTTTAAAATACTTGTTTCATGGTCTACTTTGAAAAATTCCCATTTCTCCAGTAGTTGATGGTGCTTCTTCATGGTCACTGGAAATTTCCTCACCTCTGACTCTACCTGTTGCCATCATGGTTCTGGCCTTGCCCACACAGCCTTGCTTCTGACTTGGAGCACCGAGGAGCTGCCTCCTTGTACTGACCCTGCCCATGGGCCCAGCTGCCCTTCAGGGATCATATTCCCCTTTTGCTTTCCCCAAATACCTGAGAACTAAAACGAAATGTGTTTTTTCACAGCAGGAAATGAAAGAACTTGTTTCTAGGCAGCATGGAAATATGTAGTTTTACATTTTCTTCTCCCAATCAAAATTAAATTTATCCAAAGAGCATATGCTATATTTATCCAATTTTAAATGTAAATGGGGTTATCCTCTTTTGCATATAACCTGATTAGGTTTCCCAAGACAAAACTAAAATGGAGAGACATATCTTATTGGCAGAGGTGTAAGGGATCAGGTACTCATACAATGCTGATGGGACGGGATGATATAACTTCTAAGGAAAGCGTTCGGAACAATGTATCAATGTTGTAAATATGCACACCTTTTGAGCCCTCAGTCTCACTTCCAGGAATGTATCCTGTAGACATATTTTTACATGTGGAAGTGGCATATGTACAAGGCTATTTTTGAAGTATTGTTTTTAATAGTAAGGATTGAAAACAACCTAAATCCCTTTAAATATATGATGAAATAAAATTTTGGCACACATAAACAATGGGATGCAGTACCATGTAGCTATAAAAAAAGTGAAGTAGCTCTTTATTCAAATGGAAAGCTACCTAAGCTTTGTCGACCTGGAAAAAAGCATAGTGCAGAATGGTGTGTATGAGATGCTTCCATTTCTATAAAAAGAGAGGGAAGGAAGTTCACCCCCATAGAGCCTGCTGTAGTATATAATATTGAGGGAGAGATACGTGAGGAACTGATGTAGTCATGTGTTAATTGGCAGAAATACAGCCTGAGAAAGGCACCGCTAACTTCCTCATTGTGTTAGCACTGAAGTATGCATAAACCTAGATAGTAGAGTCTACAGTAGACCTAGACCATGTGATGTACAACATTTTTATATGTAGCCCGTTGTTCACTCAAATGGTATGTAGCATGTGGCCATATATGGTTCTCCATGGGAGAAAGTTTATTGGATGAAAAACCAGTGGAATAAGATGGAGGTGTTTTTTAATTTTTAAATATACTGTATATCTCTTCAATATTTAAGGACTTAAATAATATGAATGGTAATGTCAAGTCATAAAATTCAATTTAGAAAGTAAAAAATGGAAATCGTGTCACTCTCTTTTCAAATATCCCCGGAGCTGTTCCTGATAAATTATATATGTATAAAATAATCCACATTCCTTCAGCTGGTTTCTGGTTTATGTTTTCAGGTTTATCTTCTCTTGTTCTACTGTACCCCTCCCCAAAGGGCACTTCTGTCCTGCAGTTTGTCTTGCTTTCCTGTTTCCAGTGCACTCACGTATATATGCTTCCTTCTAACCTGAGGCTCTCGCGCGCTCACCATGTCAGCCTCCCGCATTTACTCATTCTCACCAGCCCAAAGCACCTTCCATAATTCCCCTTCTAGAAGGGGTTTCTCTTCTTCTTTACTCTGAAGCCAGTTTTTTTCCTTCCTTGAACATCCTGAAATTACTTCTTTACAGCAGCAAAAGAAACACTGTGTTGTTAAAACAGTGCATCTTTACAACTCCTTAAAGCTTGAAGGAGAACTGCTGGCTGGTCAAAAAAGCCCTGGGGTACTTAAACTGCTGGTCTGTCTTTCATCCTCCTCCTAAAGAGTCTGTCAGCAACTCGACACACCTGGTAGGTCATTTTCTTATTTTTATTATGAAAGTTTTAATGTGGTAATTTACATATCATAAAATTGCCCTTACGTCCCTTCAAAAGTAGTCTAGCATTTTTGTTTGTTTATATATTCATATAATTATAAAATCATCCATTATCTAATCTAAGAACATTTCCAACATCTTAAGAATCCCCATTAGCAATCAGTCTCCCACCCCTTTGCGTTCAGCCTCTGACAACCACTAATCTACTTTGTGTGTTCTGCATAGTTTCCATAAATGAATTCGTATAATAGCAGACACTTTTTGTATGGTTTCTTTTATTTAGCATGTTTCTTGGTCTCACTAGTGGTTTTGCACACATTGGTACTTCATTTCTTTTTGTGACTGAATAATATTTATTGGCTGAACATTCTATTGATGGTCATTTGGAGAATTGTTAACACTTCTTGTTCTTAAGAGTAATGTGCCTGCAGTGGTGACATACACCTTTACTCCCAGCACTTGGGAGGCAGAGGCAGGCCGATCTCAGCCAGGATGTTACACAGAGAAACCTTGTCTCAAAATACTTTAAAAAAAGAAAGAAAGAAAGAAAGAAGAAGGAAGGAAGGAAAGGAAGGAAGGAAGGAAGGAAGGAAGAAAGAAAGAAAGAAAGAAAGAAAGAAAGAAAGAAAGAAAGAAAGAAAGAAAGAAAGAAAGAAAGAATAATGCTGCTGTGAACACTGGAGTTGTGCATCAGTTTTGTGTGAATATGTTTGTTGTTGTTGCTCTTCTTTCTGAGTCCGTACCCAGGCTGCTAGGATTATAGGTTTACTGCCTCATGTCCACAGTGGACATGTTTTCTATTCTCTTAGATATTTACTGAGAGGTAGAATTGCTGTTTCCTGTGAAAATTCTGTGTTTGACAAGTTAGAGAATTATGAAACTTTTCTAGTGTGGTTACACTATTATATATCTCTAGCAGCAACATAGGGTTTTCATTTCAGACTAGCATTGGCAACATTATTTGTCCTTTTGACACTCTTGTGAGTTGTGAAGTGGTTTCTCAATGTAGTTTTGATTTGCATTTCCATAGTGTCTAATTTTATTAAACATCTTTGCATGTGTTGATTGGTCCTTTATATGGCTAGAGTAATGTCCATTTAAATTTTTGGCACATTTAAAATGGTTTGCTTGTTTGTTGTTAAGTTGGACACAGGCTATTTAAATGTTCTGGATATAAGTGCATTCATTACTAACTACTTTTAAAAGTTTTACTATGGCAAAATATATGTAACAAAAATGTTAAGCATTTTGAATTGTAAATTGTGTATATTCACATTGTACAACCATCACCACCATCTATTGTACCTTTTCCAGCTCTGAAGCCTTCAGATAATAACTGCTCATTCACCCTTCCTATAGTCTAGAAACTTTCTGTTTCTGTGAACTGACTGCTTTAGTGAATGAATTAGTGAATTCATATAAGTATAATCAAATGATGTTTGTCCTTTGCGGCTGGCTTATTTTTTGTTTGGCCTCATGTCCTCTAGGTTCATCCATGTGTCAACGTTTTCTCCCAAGCAGTATGCTATTGTATGTATACGTTATCTTTTCACCCATCCATTTGCCTGTTGTGAACAGGTGGGTAGTATCTTCCTGTTGGCTGTTGTGAACAGTGCTGCTCTGAGTTATAGTTATAAAGGGTGTGTGTTGAGTTCCTGCCTTCATTTCTTTTGGGTGTATGTTTTGAGGTTGGGATTACTGTGTCAGACATCTTCCACTACGACTCTCTCTACATTATTATTATTATTGTTATTTTATTATTATTATTACTATTATTATTATTATTATTATATTTTATTTAGTTTTTCAAGACAGGGTTTCTTTTGGTCGTCCTGGAACTCATTATGTAGACTAGGCTGTCCTCAAACTAAGATCTGCCTGCCTCTGTCTCCCAAGTGCTAGATTAAAGACCTGCTCCACCACTGCCTGGCTTTACCTTATTTTTTGAGACAGGGTCTCTCCTCAAGTCCAGAACTAAAATGTGAAGTAGAGATTCATAGTGGAAGATGAGATGTCCAACACAGCTTTGACAAAAGTTCTAAGGCCGTTTTGTTGTTGTTGTTGTTGTTTTGTTTTTTAAATCATGTATATGTGTGAGTGTATGCCACATGTTGGTGCTGGTGTAGGCCAGAAGGCCAGATTCCTGGGAGCTTAACTTACAGGAGGTTGTGAGCTGCCTGATGTGTGTGCTGGAAATTGAACCTGGTTCAGCTGGAAGACCACTCAGTGCTCTTAACCACTGAACCATCTATCCAGTCCCCTAAGGCTGTTTTTTAAGGACAGAAGAGTAAAATAAATTATGATGGACAACTTGATATGCATAATGCACAAGAGTGTGAGGTTGAACCCTAACTAGCACAAAACAACTCTAAATAGTTATTTTTAACTAAGCCCACATGCATACACACACACACACACACACACACACACACACACACACACACACACACACACAAGCAAAAACAACTCCAAATGCACCACTGACCTAACTATATGAGCCTAAACCTATAAAATATTTAGAAAAATATCCCAAAGGATGAGGGGTTGGAGAGATGGCGCAGTTGGTAAAGTGCACAATTTTGTGTCCCCACCAACAGTGCATAGGGATTCTAGTTTCTCCACAGGATCTCTAATGCTTGTTTTCTTATTTAATAAGAGCCATCATAATTGATGTGAAGTAGCACACAAAGGTCTTGAATTTTGATAAAATTCAGTTTATCAACATTTTTTGTTTTGATCATGATTTTTTATTATAACTAAGAAACTATGGTTTAATACAAAATTACAAAGATTTAATACTCTCTCTCTCTGTGTGTATGTGTGTGTGTGTGTGTGTGTGTGTGTGTGTGTTATATGTGACTGTGTGCTTCTGTGTGCTTGTTACAGAGCTTACAGGAGGCCACAGGTTGATCGGGTATCTTCCTCTATTGCAGCAGTTCTCAACCTGTGAAGGTTGCATGTCAGATATCCTGCATATCAGATATTTACATTACTATTCATAACAGTAGCAAAATTACACTTATGAAGTAGCAACAAAATAATTTTATGGTTGAAGGTCACCACAGCATGAGGAACTGTGTTAAAGGGTCACAGCAGTAGGAAGGTTAAGGAATACTGCTCTATTGCTTTCGACCTTATGTTTTGAGGCTGGGTCTCTCTGAGCTTGGAGCTCATTGATTAGCTGGATTATCTGGCCAGTGAACTCTAAGGATCAGCCTGTCTCCACCCCATCCCACCGACACTAAGGTTACAGACATGTGCTACCATGTCCTGCTTTGTTTGTTTGTTTGTTTGTTTGTTTGTTGTTTGTTATTTTTTGAAATAGGGTTTCTTTGTGTAGCCTTGGCTGTCCTGGAACTAGCTCTTCTATAGATCAGGCTGGCCTTTAATTCACAGAGATCTGCCTGCCTCTGCCTTCCAAGTGCTGGGATCAAGGCGTGCATTCCGATCCCCAGCATGCCCTGCTTTTTTCATATATGCTGGGGATCTGAACTCAGGTCATCATGCTTGCACAGCAGACACTTGACTGAGCCATTTCCTCAGCCCCCAATCCTTTGTTTTTTTGAGAGTTTTATAGTTTTATAGCTGGTGTATTTAGATCTGTGATCCATTTGTAGTTGTGTGTGGATGGTACAGGGAATAGTTCAACCTCACTCTTATGCATTGTCCAGCATAATGTATTAAACTACTTGTTTCCTCTAAAACAGCCTTAGCACATTTATCAGACATGAACTGGGCATGAGAGTAGGCGTTGTTTCTAGACTCTCATTACTTCTCTTTGATTGGATGCCTTTATGCCTCTATTCTTTTTGAGACATTCTCTTCACTTGGCTTCCATAAAAACTCTCTGGGCTCTTTCTCATTATAATTTTCTTTTGTCATTGATTTCAAATTATGCTTGCCTATCTTTCTTTATCTCTACAACTTTGTAACACCCTAAGGCTCAACCTTGCCACTTTCTCTCTGTTCATATCTACATGGATTTTATAATCATTCTGGGACTTACAGCTCAAGTCCAGACATCTTCCACAAATACCACTCCACATCTACTCAGTATCATTATTAGGAAGTAAACAGGTGTCTCAGACAGAGCACATCCCAAACCAAACTCTAGATCTTTCTCCTCAATTCCTCAACAACTCTGCTTTTTATCTAGTTTTCCTTACCAGTAAATTGTGGTCATGTCTGACTTTAATCCATTAGTAAATTATGCCTTCTCTACTTTCAACTTTATTCATTCATTTATACTCTCTCTCTCCCTCCTTCCCTCCCTCCTTCCCTCTCTCTCTCTCTCTCTCTCTCTCTCTCTCTCTCTCTCTCTCTCTCTCTCTCTCTCTCTCTCTGTACGTGTACATATGTACACATCAGAGGACAACTTACCAGAGTCAGTTCTTTGTTTTTAGCATGTGTGTTCCAGGGGTTGAACTCAGTGCCTTTACTGCTGAGCCGTCTTGCTAACACATCCTCTACATTTTAAGCAGTGACCTCTACCTCCATCACATCCATTTCTGTTTAAGCCACCATTTTCTTTCATCTACATTATTTCAGTAATCTAACTGTTCTTGTTTAAATTCCTGTCCCTCTATAGTCTGTTCTTTCACAGCAATCAGAGTAATTGTTATAAAAGATCACATCACTTCTGATTCAAATGAAAGTCAGAGTTCTTTGTGGGGCTCGAACTGGCTCTTCATTGAAAACTTCCTGTTCTTCTACACCAATTATGTTCTCATCTTAGGCTTCACACTTGTGTGAATTAGACCTAAACTACTTTTCTTCAAGGACTCTGAATGTTCTTTTTATTCTTTTCCTCCACATCTCTGCTTAAACATATTATTGATGAGACCTTCCTGCCAACTTTTAATTTAAAAATAGGTTTTTTTAGGTTTTTGTTTTTTGTTTGTTTGTTTGTTTGTTTGTTTTTTGAGACAGAGCCTCATATGTTGGTTAAGTGGCAGCTCTCATGGTTGGCTGCCGCCTGCAGCGGCCATGCCAACGGAAGAGAGCCCTGGATGTTGCGATGGCGGAAGAATCATGAGCCATGGTTACCTTTCTAGAGCTTTATTGGGAAAGAAAGGGGGGGAGAGAGAGAGAGAGAGAGAGAGAGAGAGAGAGAGAGAGAGAGAGAGAGAGAGAGAGAGAGAGCGAGCGCAGAGGGGAGAGAATATGGAAGGAGAGAGTGAGGAAAAAGAGGGCACAGAGAGGGCACGCCCACTTTTTAGGCTGGGACACTGTCACAGGCTGGTGACATAATTAAGGACATAATCCTTACATCATATATACTACATTGGCATTCAGTTCACTGTGTAAATGAGGATAACCTTGAACTTCAGATTCTTCTGCTTCTCCCTCTGGAAATGGTACAGGCTTCTGGCATATTTTCTTTGGTCCTGGACAAGAGAGGTTTTCTTAGAAAAGCCTTTTGTTTTCTAAGTCCTGAAATTTATAGATTCCTTTTCCTAAATACAAGTTATAGATTTACTGAGCCTTCTGGCTAAAAAGGTAAGATTAAATATATCGTGCTTATTCTCAAGAAGGTCATAGATTCCTTGATCACAAGATATTCTTAAGAAATTCACAGTTCTTAGGCTGGAGGATAGCTCACTTGGTAAAATGCTTGTTCACAAACTTTAGGATCTGAGTTTGTTCCTCAGTGCTCACATAAAACACCAGGCACTGAGGCACGTACCCCTGTAATCCCAGCACCATGGAAGCAGAGAGAGGAGGCTCTTTAGGGCTTGCTGGCCAGCCAGTCTAGCCAAATTTTTATATCTGAGCTCAGCAAAAGACCCTATCTCTACAGGTAAGGTAAAAGGCCAGCAAGGTAGCCCAGTGGGTAAAGGCACGTCCCACCAATTTAACAACCTGAGTTTGTCTCTGGATCCCACATGATGGAAAGAAAGAACTGACTTCTACAATTTTTTTTTCTGACTTCCACATATATGCCATGGTACATGTGAATACTTTCATGCATTTTACACACACACACACACACACACACACACACACACACACACACACACACACAAATAAATGTTTTTAAAAAGTAAGGTATAGAGTGACTAAGGAAAACACTAACCTTGACCTTTGGCATCTACATACATGTGTGCACGATTATAGACACATACACACAGGCTCACGGTTCTTAAGAAGTATAAAGGGAGATGTTTATACAGACAACTGCAATGAAACATACTATTGATAATATACTGCCATAGAAGAGTCCACACAGAAGAGAGGGTACTTTTGACACATGATGGAGAGATGACTTATTCTGCCCTTGGAAGTCAAATAAGGAAATTTCACAGAAGTTTTAATATTTGAGCTCAATCATAAAGAATAAGCCCTGATCTGTTCCATGAGCACGAGAGGGAGATGTGCAGGCATTCAGTGGGTAACGCTCAGTAAGACTTTTTCATATGGGACAGATACAGAGGAGAGGCAGAAGGGTGAGTTACAATGGTATTGAAATTTAAAATGTTGAAGTACTTTATATGTTGTAATAAGGCCTGGTGAGCCATTGGTGCAGCCAGGCAAATGAAAACTGTGATGAACATTTGGAAATAAGACTATGAAGTGTAAATTGGACCATAAAGAGGACCATGTCCAGTGCCAGGGGAGGTGATCATAGAATTTCTTGTTGTAGTCCAGATGAGAGGCAGTGAGGGTATGGATTAGGCCAATGGCAACCTAGAATTCAGATCAGAAAAAGATGTCAAAGATATTTAGGAGGTAGATTACAGAGGATTGGATGATCAACCCATACGGTCTATTGCTGTGAAGAGACACCATGACCATGACAACTTTTATAAAGGAAAATTTAATTGGAGTGGCCTACATTTTCAGAGGTTTAGTCCATTATCATCATGACAGGACATGGTGGTGCAGAAGAGACATGGTGCTGGCTACATCTTGATCAGAAGGCAACAGGAAGTCATCTGAGATACTGGGCATGGCTTGACCCTGTATGAGTCCTCAAAACCCACCCCCACACTGACACATTTCCTCCTACAAGGCCATACCTACTTCAACAAAGCCATAACTCCTAATAGCACCACTCTGGGGACCATTTTCTTTCAAACCACCACACATACTTACTGAGGGAAAAGAAGGAGGAATCTAGCTGTCTGGCTGTGGATTGGGGAGGATTATCTCAGGCCTTGGATATGAGAAAGTAAGAGGAGGCATTTTGTTGTTATTGTGGTGGTGGTGGTGGTGTGTGTGTGTGTGTGTGTGTGTTTTAAAACATCCTCAATTTAAACTAAGCATGAGATATGCAGGTGCTGTGCAGGAGTCAGATAATAGTATGCTAGGCTAAGTAGGGATTTGAAGGTATGGTATAACTACTGTTAGGGCAGCAGCCAGGGAGGGAAGAGACTAGTGTAATGATAGACTGTCAAATGACGGTAGTAGCCAGTTGAGATTCAACATCTGTATCTATTTGTCATATTCTCATGTGTATGATGGTGGAATTTGTCAAGGCATGATATGGTAAGTACTAAAAAGAGGACAAAGATAAACAGACCTTAGATGCCTCAGTAGGAATTAATTAACTCCTACCTGGGTGGGTATCAGAAAAAAACTGTGTCAGGCTGGTAGAACGGAATGAGTAAATAACTGTGGATTTTTGACTGTGAGAAAATGAGATTGTACAAAGTATATATAAGTCCAAGAAAGTTGGTGGGAGAGTAAAATTCGGGGCTTGGGATCAAATCTTTAAGAGCCTTGATGGCTTTGTCAGCTTATTATGTATTTTAAAAATTTATGTATGTTTGCATGTGTGTGCGTTCTTGGGCCTAAGGTTAATGTCAGGAGTCTTGATTGCACTCTGTTAAGGTCTGTGAGAATTCCCATAAAAGACCACCAATCACATGTGCAAGCAGCAAGGGCATTTATTAAAAATTACCAGTATGTTGCAGTCTAACCATCTGACAAAGTGGCAAATGGCAACCCGGAGAGAAGCTCGCAGGTTCCTTTTAAGCGGGGTTAGGAGAATTCCAGGGGGGAGAGATTAGTCTGGGGGTTGATTGGTGGGTTTAAACAAAAACTTTATGGGTTGTTATAGGATGGTAGGTGGCTCTAGTGCTTAGGAACTTTCCAGAAGCAGGGTAGAGAAAGCTGTCTTTAGCCAGCAGAAGGCTGTGGGGCGCCTGCTGATTGGTTGCCCCTGAGTTGTGGGTTTCCCGAGAACTGCCTGCTCAGCTCCAGCCAGCTCCAGTAAACTGAAACTAAGGCCTGGTCTTTGGCAGGACTACTAGGAGCCTGTCATGGCCCTGATCTGGCTCCCCAGCCCTCTCACTCTCCATGTTGTTAGTTGAGACAGGGTTTCAAATGAACCCAGAACTTGCTAATACAGCAAGTCTAGCAAACCAGGTTGCTCCAAAGATCCCCCATCTCTGCCTTCCAAGAGCTAGAGTTAAAGGTGGACCGCCTAGCCCATCGGGCATCTATTTGAGTTCTGGGGCATTTGAATTTCAGTTCTCAGGCTTGTGCAACAACATTTTATTTACTGAGCCATTTGTATATTTTATTCTTGAGAATAAAATTTGGAGAAATTGAGGGCAGGGAGGGGGTAATCAGAATGTGGTATGAGATCTAGACTGTGTTTAAGAAGTGGAGAAGGAAAGAAACATTTCCAATTTGAGCCTTTAGGGTCAAAGTATTTCTTGCCTGATTTTCTTATTCAGAGAGAAAAAGTATCCTCAGGAGGGTGGGATGTGGATGTGAAAGAGCTCTCTGTTCCTGCTCTAGGAAGTATCTATCTTTCAATCCTCATTCACCTTCCTGGTGCCACACTGTTTTGAAGGACTGCTGTTACTGAGTTCATTCTTCTGTCTGGACAAGTGATGTTGGTTAAACGGGCACTGCTCCTCATGGCTGGCCGCCGCCCCCAGTGGCCATGCCATGCCGACAGAGGAGAGTGCTGGAGGAGAGTCACGAGCCATGGTTACTTTTTAGAGCTTTATTGGGGGGGGGGGGGAGAGGGAGAGAGAGGACAGATGGAAGGAAGGAGCAGAAAGGAAAGAGGGACACACAGAGGGCCCACCCGCTTTTTAGGCTGGGACGCCATCGCAGGCTGATGACGTAATTAAGGACTGAGTCCTTACAAATGATCCATTTGGCCACCAGAAATATAGCTGAGAACTTATGAATTAGTTTCTTCTATTTGCAATATGATAGTGATGGACTTTTCAATTGAGAGAAGAAAGTGGAAGGACCTAGTTGGATGATTTCATAGGAAGACTGTGGGCCTGGCTGTTATGCCCAGATTGCAGGGACCACCAAAAGACCACCACGGAGACTGAATCCCACATGTAAAAGCAAAGAGCCTTTATTACCTTCAAGCTCCTGGGCTTAGTCTCTCTGTCTGACACAGCGTGAGAGCAGAGAGCCCTGAGCTGAAGCAGGGTAAGGTTTTTATCATAGCAGAGGTTGGGGTGAGGGGATTTCCAGGGTTCAGGACTCTGATTGGCTGACATTGTCTAGGGGTATCTGTAAAATAGGTGTGTGCTATACTCAAGGACATCTGGCCACCTTATCTAATGGTTGGAAAGTTTGGGATGTCAGGTATTTCCTCATCCCTGGGTGGATCCCTGGGTGGTGTCAGCTTATGGCTTTTCCTGGATCTGGGTGTTGCCTGCCAGTAAGCCTGTCACAGAAGCTGTGCCTGGGCCTCTAGGCCTGTCAGGGCAGCTGTGTGGTCAAGCTGTTTTGGGGACCCTCTATACTGACTGGCCACATGTGGTCCTGTAAAGTAGTGTAGTCTCTGGTGAATAGAAAAGGAGACTTTGTCTCTTTCTGTGGCTTGCTTGACTAGTCTGAACGTGCCCACTTCCCTTGGAATATTGCTCTGAGATTAATAGGTAATAATCAACCCTGAGATTGAATTCATGGTTTTAGTATCCAGATCACTGTGATTTCTGTTATAGCAGTTGACACTCCACGGTCTTTACATGTTCAACATCTTGATCCTGGCTGTAACTCTAGGTCCTACTTTAGCCCAGCTTAATTTAGTCTGGAGAAACAGGCCTTACTTACTGAGCAAGTGCTTGACCAAGTCTGCACTGTGAAATGGAAAGGGCTCAGCCATCAAGCTTAGGGTTTGAGGACTTCTATGCAGATGAGTTTAGCTCGCATGGCTTTTGAAGAAAGAAGGTACTGTGTGCTCTGCAGCTTGTGCTGCCCGCTGGCAGGAGGAGTCTGATTCTGTGGCCTTGGCAGCCCTGACTCTGAACACAGACCACTTTGGAAAGAGGAAAAGGACAAGTGGAATCCCCAGGCAGACCTTGTCCTTTGCATTAAATACCCACTGGATATTCAGACTAAACATCAGACCAGCCAACACAGGAAGTAAGGATTCTAGGGACCAGTTGGTGTCCCTTACTTAGGT